CATTACCTTTCAAAATCAACATGCAAGCCTTTCTTTTATATCAACTACATCCAATGATATTTTTAGCCTAATATTTCCATGGCAACAAAGCAAGGAATAGTCCATTTGAGAAAAGAGAGATACCATTTGAGAAAAGAGAGAGCTGGGTAACTAGGGAATTGAAAGGGAGTTCAAAGCTGCTTTCCAGTCTGCCACTACAGATTCACGTATTGGCTCTTATTCTATTTGATTAAGATGAATGTAGTTGAGACATAAGTAAAGGCTACTTCTCATATTAAATATTTTTTTTTTCTACAGAAAGATAGTCATGACCCAAACCCATTTCAATACAGCTGAAAAGATTACACTCCTTTCTATGTGTGAATCCAACACACGTTATTCCTGAATTTTTAGTGTTATCTGTATCTGTGAGAGAGTGACACAATGACTTCCATTTTGATTACATGTATTGACTCAATTAAGTTTTGTGTTTCTGCTGGATACAATACTAAGCAAGAGAATCCAACAGTCTAGCTTAGTATAAAGTTGATTTTTAATTTTCCTATATTAATTATTATGTGCTGATGGCTCAAAATGGAGATGAATCAATTTCACTGTAATGAATTATGCTTGAAGGTGAACATTCAGTGGTTGGGTCGACACATCCTACTAAACTATGCTTTTTTTAACAAAAGCAGTGGCTTGTCTAATAAGTCCAGTTGGCTAGGTTCTCACACTTTACTAAGCCATAATGTATTCACTACTCTGGTTTTCAATCTAGTTTATGAATTAGCATATTGCAAGACCTGTCTTAATGTAGTTTACTCAATAAACCAGAGTTAAACAAACTATGATTCAGTATAACATACAGTAGGAATGAAATATATACTTTGTAAGTTATAATCCATAAATCTAAGCTAAAGGCTAATACCAAACTTTCTAATGTTAGGCTGATGTCTGTGAACTGGTCCTCTCTTTTTAAACAGACTGCTTTAAAGCTGAATTGCTCTAGGCTGGAGATGGTCACAGCTTTTCACTTTGTGAAATTATTTTTTCTTTAATATTAATATATTTAGCAGTAGAAGGTATATTTTTTACCAGTATCTGAAATACTATACATTTAAGCCTTACTTGCAACAGTCTGGCCATTAAGACTGTTGCATGGGGTCATACATACATATTCTGCATACTTGCTTCAAACTAATTTGGGAATAAACAATATACCCCAGTACAATTAAACAGACACCACATTATTCAATATAGGGACCAATTAACCAATAAACATATACATGCCTGAATTGCAACTATGGCACTACTGATATTCCCTGAAATTAGGTGGATAATTTTTTTCTAAGAATTTTACATTCTAAGTCTGCTATAATAGTACAATGACGTTTATCATAGTAGTTCCTGTTTGCATTCATTAGCCAGCAGAAAATAGAATTCTTCTACAATATATTTCTTCTTCCCACATGGAAAGTACCAGCTGGTGGAATAAAACTGAATGAAATGGAATGAATCAAATAATGTCCTATCATAAGCAAGTGAAATACTCACTGTAACCATGGAAGCTGCATCTATCCATTCATCAACTATATAAAGCTCCTTGAATTGGAATAAGTTAATATAACCTCCCTTCCTGACTATAAATCTCAATCAGAATTCCCCAGTGCCAATTACAGCTAGATAGATTAATCTAAATCTGCCTACCCTCACTATGTAATTTAAAATAGGATGATCAACAACTATTTTTAAAAGTGCTTCATGAAGCACATAACATCACATTGAAAACATATTTTCTTTACTGTTAAGTTCATTTTTAAAGCGTTAGCTCTTCAATATCACTCCATTCCAATTGGCTCTTACATACTACCCTAAACTACAGAAAGTTACTCCTGGCTACAGCCATCATTTGGGTATCTGGGTGCAAGGCTGGCTTTAGAAACATCCCAAAATGTGAGTTTGATTCTTCAAGAAGAACTACAGAGCAATTATATCTTTTCATGCTTATTTACATGTATAGTTTTTATGAAAGTACACATTCAAAAATTTATTCTGATAAATTCAGAGTTAAGTGGCAGAACATAAAAAGACATGTAAAATCCCTTGGATAACTCCATTTTTAAATTGCTTTTAATATTCAAAAAAGGAAAAAAAACCAAAAAAAATATTGCTACATAGCAAACATGGGATATCTAAAAGGATACTTAGTAAGGGATAGATATCAACTTCAATATGTTGGAAGTGTAAAGTGGTGGAGGGATACAGACTGCTGATCTTATCCATTATTTTCACTTTTTGGATTACTTTCCGACTATAAGACAATACTTTTTTCTAAAATCCTTACGCTAAAAATTGAAGGACGTCTTATTCAAGGAAATAAGCCGAGGAGAGAA